TAAAATATTCATTTTACATCATCAGTCCAGTCATAAAAGATAATTTTATATTTCAAATGATGAATAATTCAATCGCAAATAGAAAAATAAACATGGCATAACCCCTAAATAGTATCTTTGATAATTGTACTGAAAATTACACATCCAGTTTAAATTACTGTACTGAAAATTAAATTTGTGCAAAAAAACTCTCTGGCTGAATAACATTCAAAATTATGAAGGCTTGCATGTTAATCTAAAAATTTCCAAGATATTTCCTATCATATCATAGCATCGATAACAGTATATATTCTTGATCATGACATCTGTATTATATTCCCCTCTCTGACATCTTTTCTTGGTCACCCAAGTAGTTCAACAGTCATCTGGGTACTCAGGTGTTGTACAAGTCTTAATAATAAACATCATTTTCAAAATTATAAAGAAAAACAATCCAATTTTTAAAGAGGTTTTCATTACTTCTATTGAAATTAAAGCACAAGCTTTTGAAGACATACTTAAGTAACTTACAACATGTATAACTAAACATAATGGAAATTAGACAATGCGACTCAGCATGCTCAATGTCAAACATATGATAGTGATGCATCTGTAATATCCATGAAACTTACTGAGATACTTAAAATGTTTGTGGCGTGCTTTTACTCATCGTCGCAAATCACGACCAAAATGTACGGTCCTCTCCCATTCTGACCGTGGTTGAATGAGAAGAGAATTTCTCGTAGTTCATTAAAATATTGACCGATGTGAGTAAAGCATAGTCGGATAAAGAACTTTGATGTGACCTTTCAATCTCCAATCGCAGTGTACGAAATATTTCTTGTATACTGCTGATGTAAATTGTTGATTTCAATAACGATGGAAACAAAACTTGTCATTTGACAGAATATGACGTCACAATAGCGAGGCGTGAATATTCAAGATTACGACACTTTTTGTGATTAAGCAGCCACGGGTAGGAGAGAGCTATATGCGGACTCTGGACCATGACTTGAGACGATGGCTTTCACTAAGCTAAGCAAAATATAGAGTTCTTGATTACTCATTGAAGTCCAATCCTCACCTGACTTGCACATTCATATGGATTGGTTCTATGTTGATTATCCCTTTCAACAATCTTCATCACAACATCTGGAAGTTATCCATCTTCCAAATTAAGGTATTCAATGTATAACGAAGGGATTTTGAATGGTTTTAAATAATTTTAAACTAGTTAAAAGCACATTGCTAGATAACGATAAAAGTGAAATGAACCAAATTCACAAGACTGATAATACGTAAGGAGACGGTCATTTTGCACATTAAAAGTTTTTGAAAAGTTATCTGCCTTTGATGAAAAGAAGAAAATTTTTGATTTTACAAAATTTCTGCGGTAAATAATTTATTTTATTTTATATTTTGATAAAGAGGAAGCTTATGCATATTTTCACCAAGATATTTGTTTGAAATTCTAATTACTTTTTACAATATCTTATAAAAACATGCGCTGTCCATAGACTTCAATGTAGAATTCAGGGCGATATCAATTGAACAATAATCAAAATTTTGTAAATTCCTTTGGTGGAGCATTTTTATTTGATAACATCTACAAAATGCAACCATGATTAAAAATATCAGACCATTCATTTATTAGGTACAAAATATGGTCGTTATACATTGAATACCTTAAATCTGCCGCTCACCTCGAGTGTATATAGACTCCCTGTACAAATGCACGGAAAATAAAATTTTGAATAAAAAATGAATTATCTCTTCACCATACCTGGCCTCTTTAAAAAATGTGAGAAAATAATTTAAATACTTTTCTTTAGATAAAATCATGTAGTGAGTATCCAGCAATGTTGAAAAATATCTTTATCTCTAGAATTTTACATTTATACTCACCGTCAATGAAAACACAACACTCTAATTTTAGGGTGAAAAATTATATACGGGATATAACTATGTACCAAACAAGTTAGGACATCTTTTACTTTGCCAAATCAGTTATTTAATGGTTGAATGGTTCTCATTTCATTACCGAAAGTTGATATTTTAGCCCTCTTAAAAGATAACATTTAAATAACACACACACCCCCTTCCGACCATTTAATCAAAACACACTCGGAGTTCCTCGGATGACTCGTACCTCGCACATAACCTCGGACGTCAACGGTGATCTACCATCTTGCTGTTTCAGTCATGTGATCTTATTTAAATTTTTTTTCAAATGTCATACATTTGAAATCGAAGTTATTTTGTGGCACGCTCAACGGATTTTTCTTGCTTTTGAAGCCTACTAACATGAGGTTGTAATCAAAACCTGTTTACGATAAAGATTTGCACAAATTAAGAAACATGTTCGAAGAACGTTATGCAGAGCGAAATATGAAATGAGTGATAAGGCAGTTTCCGGCGGAGAAATGTAAGGATCTGATGCGTATTCCTCCACTAATCACATCCGAGGTTTGAATGGAGCGTAGCGGAGTCACCCGAGGATTGCCGATTGATCAAAACATGCTAGTCCGCCATGTACAACATACATGTACGCAGTCCGATTTCTACCATGCATTAGGTTTATCAATGTCTTTTTTCTGAGCAAAATAAATATTCTTGGGCATTTTTAATTGCCTGTTGTTCAGATACTCCGGTCGAATTTTCTCTAACTTGGCGTAGTGTAGTAACTCTTGGACTTCCGGTCAAGTAACTGTTATTTATGCTATTGAAACACATGAGCCTGATGAGTCGTTAAATAGTGTACATTTGCATCTGCAGCTCTTTTTTTCTTTATTTTGAGAATCTCCAGCATTAGCAATGAAAATCAGTAATTTTGAGGAAATATAGGCATCACATCCGGTAAAGAAAGAAGGATTTTTCCCGGGATTTTAGTACAATACTTATGATAAACAGCTACAAAATCTAGAAAACCTAAAATATTGTTAAAAATTTATTAAAAATGCTAAAATTTGCTTTCTGTTAAGAAGGCTAAAAAGCAACTTCCGGTAGAACCCTAACAAAAAAATACTATAGTAAACTATAGTTAACTATAGTTTACTATAGTTAACTATAGTACCAAAGTTAAAACTTTGGAACTTTGGTTTACTATGGTGAAAACTCTGGAACTTTGATTTACTATGGTGAAAACTTTGGAACTTTGATTTACTTTGGTAAAAACTTTGGAACTTTGATTTACTATGGTGAAAACTTTGGAACTTTGATTTACTATGGTGAAAACTTTGGAACTTTGATTTACTATAGTGAAAACTTTGGAACTTTGATTTACTATAGTGAAAACTTTGGAACTTTGATTAAGTACCTTAAAACCCGTAGAATTATGGTTTTGATTCTCATTTTGTACATTTTAGGAAATGTCAAGAATAAGATTTATTACAGCTTCAATGAACGTTTTTTAAAAAACCGACTCGTCCCCTAATAGAACAAAGTACAAGAAATGAATTTTAATGAATAAATTGTCCTTGCACCGATAAATAAGCAATATCTATTATCATTTATGGACAAAAAATTACTATAAAATAAAAATTTCCTCATTTAGAATCAAAATATTTGCTTTTTTAACATCAGTCAACATGTTTTTTCTATCGTTCAATGTAAAAAATGGACTTAAATTAATTACTTTGAATATTTAAATTGAGACGAAAACAAAAATCAACCCAAACAAACCAAAAATCATCGTCCTTAAAACAGATTAATAATTAAAAAAAACTAATTAAAAACATACAAAAACTTTAATACTTTGATTTACTATGGTGAAAACTTTGTAGCTTTTGATTTACTATGGAAAAAAAACTTTGGAACTTTGATTTACTATGGTATAAACTTTGGAACTTTGATTTACTATGGCGAAAACTTTGGAACTTTGATTTACTATAGTAATAACTTTGGAACTTTGAATTACTATAACAAAAACTTTGGAACTTTGATTTACTATAGTAAAAACTTTGGAACTTTGATTTACTTTGGAAAACTTTGGAACTTTGATTTACTTTAGTGAAAACTTTGGAACTTTGATTTACTATAGTTAACTATAGTTTACTATAGTATTTTTTTGTTTAGGGAAGAAAGAAATTCATTCAACCGTTAAATAACTGATTTGGCAAAGTAAAAGATGTCCAAACTTTTTTGGTACATAGTTATAACCCGTATATACTTTTCACCTTAAAATTAGATTGTTGCGTTTTCATTGACGGTGAGTATATATTGAATTAAAACTGCATTGTTCCCACTACTTAAAAAACTCAAAAGACATTACCTAAAATGGAAATAAGGTACACCTGTGACTGATGTCTTGGGCACAACCAATAAACACAAGACCTTTCCATCCTTAGCAACATGCATTAGCTCCACATTCCTTGTTTCTACAAAAAATATACAATGAAAATCTAAAAAAAAATTAAGAGCGAAGAGTGTTACTTGGAGGAACAGAGGAAGGAATTTTGAAGTCAGATTAATTATAACTGACTTCGATCAGGTGAACTTGAGTAACTGTTGTTGAACTAGAGTAATCGAACCCGATATAGTTTAACTGGAGTGACGTAATTTTTCTACCATAGTTCTACCAACGGAAACACGAGGGTAGAACTATGGTAGAAAAATTACGTCACTCCAGTTAAACTATATAGGGTTCGATGTTACTCTAGTTCAACAACAGTTAATCAAGTTCATGAGCGAAGTCAGCCTATATTTCTGCCAGTGTTGGACAGATAAATTTCCATAATAAAATGAAACGAATTATTCGCAACAAATAAGACACATGTATTACCTTGCAATCATCGTCGCACATAATGTACACAACTGACAACATCCCAAATCCCTTTCTTTGTTGTTTTCTTGGCGGAATTTTCTTGCCTTTTAGACTGGGGCCCATACATTGCCGTGAATAAGTCTTACGTTTATTAGTTTTGTTTACAAGCCTCAACATCAATAAAATCTCCCGCACATTTACAGCCTTTATTGTAAATTACTAAAAACATATTTTACATTCAATTTTGACCTCAGTATTCTGTTATCTTCTTCATTCAAATAATATGTAAACTCTTCTCGAATGTAAAACGAACGATCTACTTTGAAGAGTAACCCAAATATGGCTCTGTGTATTCGGTTGAATAGCCAATTATTTCAAATCAAGTTGAGCGGGTCTGCATCGTTATTCTGACGAAGTTTGCAACCAGTAGTAATTTTTTGAAACCTCATCTAGATTTAAGAAGATTCTTGCCTTGACAACTGCTCGAACTCCCGGATTGGCATGTGCAGGTTTGTTTACGATTTCCACTTTCACTTTCAGCATAGATCAGTACATTGTGCATGTTCTGAAACAATGAAACTAATGAAAGTCAGGCAAAACTACGCTGTATATGTTATTTACTGCCAGAATATCCGATTAGTATTTTTGATAGTTTGGGGATTAAATGTTTATGTGTTTCAGTTTATTCTGTAAAGGTGTACGAATTAAACAAGACAAAGAAAAACAATTCTGGAGTGGGACTAAAATGAGTAGTACAAACCGAGCAGGACCGGGAATTTGAAACTGAAAAGCGGGTTTTTGCTAATTACTGAGAATTTACACAATCAGTTGTCATAAAACTTCGTTACAGATGTAATTATGCCTTGGCTGAGAGTTCCAACTCCAAAATTGACAAATAAGTTTGTTTTATTTATGTTGATTCACATTTTTAAATTCAAGAATGCATGTTCAGTTGGTTTTATTATGAAACATGTCACGTGCATAAAACATTATCGTGAAATGTACTCTGTCTTTGATATTGTAAATTCTGATTACACAGATGCCTTGAAAATATTCATACTTATGCATGGCACTGAAAATATACTTATAGATTTTTTTTTCTTTTAGGAGAAGCATGAGAAGAATGCCTGCATGGGAAGAAAAGTTTTGGACTCTGAAAAAGGAGGTGTGACAAAAACATTTTGACAGTTGTTGATTTCCACTGAAACCAATATCCAAAAGAAAGAGGAACACAGTTTTATGTTGATTCACATCTTTAAATTCAAGAATGTTCAGTTGGTTTTATTATGAAACATGTCACGTGCATAAAACATATTCGTGAAATGTACTCTGTCTTTGATGTGTGTGTGATTTGCAGGATAGGATGTGGGCAACATATACTGTCAAGAATCTTGATGTTTCTGATTTTATGTTTGTAAAAAAAAATGTTTTGTATTGTAATAAACAAAGTTAAAGTCAACTTTTGTTACTTTGTATATTAATTATGATGTTTAGACTTCCGCAACTTATCGATTTAGAAGAAAAAACTTATTTATAATTTGCATAAGGCTTCATTCACTAGAATGGAAAACAGAAATTATTAACTTTTGTGGTTATCAAAGATGGTATTTAATTATATTTAAGATCTGTAATTATCAGATTTAATATATCCTAAATACCGTGTTTAATGATTGTAAATATTAACTTTACTTTTTTGTAAAGTCAAGAAAAAGTGGGACATTACATCATATTTAAGTGCATGTAAAGTTGATGTAAAGGTTACCTTTTCCAGCTTTGACTTTTTTCAGAAAAGCCAATTATAGGCATTGTAAATAATAAATTTATATTATCTTTACTTGTTTTGTAAATCCGAATTTTCATGCAGTGAATTACCATAATTTGGGAATTTCATCATGTTATTTTATTAATTAGCGAGGTTATCTAATTAAAAGCCACATATTCAGAGTTATTCTCTGAATCAGACTTATTTGTATTCTGATTTTATTTTCGGAGAAATTTAAGAAAAAAATGAATTAATTTCAAATTATTTTGAGGGGGTATTTTATTTTTATTATCTTCTTTAAAAGAGATTATTGAATTCAATAAATTGTGGAACTTTAAGTAGTCACTTCATTTTGTTTCTTTGGTATTTGTATAGTACCTGGTGTCAAATAAAATAAATAAAGTTAAATTACAATATCTGAACTGCAACATCCTGACAGATTCTGGGATACCCATGAATTTTTCTTTTTATCTGAATGCAATTTTGGTTGTGTCTTTTTGATTTAAGGATTACGTTTACTCAACGTTACAGCACAAACTGGTCTCCGTAGAACCTGATATTGTAAAATTTGTAACCTCATGATTTATTATATATAGAAAATATTGAGAAATGGAGGGTTGATTTTAAATAAAACATAACGGTTAAGAATTAAATAAGTTTTTTGAACAATCTGCTACAATGCAATTTGTTATTTGCGACATGCCGTAAATTTCGCGGCGAATGTTACAGTAAACATTCGTCTGTCAGAAAGAATGACGCTCAAAACAAAATAACAAATACACAAAAAACTCGGAGGTCTTAAAATCTCGGTGGAAGTGCGTCCGGAACGACCACAATTATTCACAGGGCGATCGTCATCTTTCCCACATGATAAACAACGAGGAAACTAGTTCCGAGCAAGTACCGGTACCGCACACGTAAAGCGATCGTGAAGTTCCCAAAACAGCTGGATGCGATGTAATTGTTCATTCAGATAGTTCTGGGTGAGGTACTTGAAAATTGGCCATGCATCTGATCTAATGTATCTGCGTTCAATATGATTATCACATGTTGGGTGAATGTACACACTATATATATGCATGGTGTACAGACACAGATACGAGTAATACGTATACATTCCCAATTTTAATTTCCAACACTCCAGCCTTATAAAAAGTAATAAAAATAAAAAAAAAAATTTTTGCTGAAATAAAACAATCTTACATTTTAATCCCCAGAGAAATGATATCAGAGATAAAGAGTTAAATGAGTTTCTGACAGTGTGGCTGTGATGCATTATACAATTTAGCATAGCTTGTATTTAAAACATGTAGATGTACAGTTGTGTGCCAGAATTTAAGATCTTTTTTCTCTGTATATCTCACCGAAAACAACATTTTGTAAAATTACTGGCAAATTGTCATTTTTTGTCCAATTTAATTATTTATTTCTGTACTTAAACCAGAAAATGTTTAGTTATCTTTCTTTAAAATATCATTACATATTTAGTTCATCACTTAACATCAGTTCTAAAATTCAAGACCAATGTTGACTATATAGATCTAATTTATTGTGAGCACGTGACTTAAAAATTCATGTCGCACTTGAATTATAATATTCTAAAAATGTCAATGCTACATGATCAGGTAAAAACTATTATTTTCATCAACAGTGATTTAACAAACTGTTGTTTACTATGAAATATTTAGAGAAAAAATAAAATGATATTAAATTATGGCACACAACTGTACATACTCCAATTAGAAATAGGCCTTACTACCAGCCTAATATGTGTACAAAAATGTTAGTGTAATATGTAAACTCTGAATCTGCACCTGAAAACAATGCGCATGCATTCAAACAAATGTACATGTATAATTTTTTTTTTTTGAAATCCACTAATTTTTTTTAAAAACCTTATTTTTTTAAATTGAATTTAGATCATTTAACTGGTTATGATATTTAAAGTCTGTGCAAATTCTTAATCATATTAAGTATAGTACTGAACTAGTGAAATTAAATCTTGTAGGTATTGAATTTTGTAATTCATTTAGCCTATTATAAGAATATTTAAAATAATTTCAGTTGCAATGCACACTATAATGTTATTTACATATTTTACGTTCATTTCATAATTTTTAAATGAGGATGTTGTACTAAAATTGCACAGCCATCAAAATGATAAACATAACTCTGTGTCTTACTAAACAAAAACAATTTTTTTAACAAATAATATATTTAAGTTATGTAAGTTTTTATGTTAGATATGATTCATCATGGAGAGAAGGAAGGAGGGTGGTGGAGATTGGGGTTCTGGCCGACGGATTGTCTGGATGTAAACAGTGTGGATTACTACTTCAGTTATCTCAGACCCAAGGAATATGGGATTGTGGCATAGGTAGCTTTCTCCAGGTTCGATGTCGAAATTTATGATGTGGACATGTTAATGTGATTCCAACCGGAAAACGCCATGGTCGCATATGGGATGCTAATACTAAATTAGCTACAGGTTTAAATATTGCATGCAATTTTAAAAGTATGTTTCCAAATTGTATAAATTGATTTTAATTAACATATCACATTTTTTTTACAATTCAATAGGAATGATTCATACTGGCATTGGCCCAGCTCAAGTAAATGAATTGTTAACAACCTTCAAGATCCCTGCTGTGAGTACAAAGACCATCCAGAATAGACAAACAGAGACAGGACTGGCCATAGAAAAATTTGCTGAGGACACAATCCATCAGGTCTTATAGGATGAAATCCAAGCAACAGTTGAGTGAGTACATTGTGTATTATTATACCTCATTATAAATATTCTCAACAACGTGTTATCTGATTGGTTCTAATTTATCATGTGATCGGGCCGTAAAACTTCATATTTCCCAACGTCGGCACGCTTTTCATCATATTCCACCTCTTCGGAACACCCAGCGTATTTCCCGAAATAATTATCGTTCGTTTAAAAAAAAACTCCCGAGAGTAGTAGACGTCACAATACCCTGATTTACGTCACAAAATTGATGATAAGGTGTTGACCAAAGGGTTTTAGTAACTTTACGTTAAAAATGAAAGTGAATTTGATTTATTGATTGTATATTGTTTAACGTCTCTCTCGAGAATTTTTCACTCATATGGAGACATCACCGTATGCCGGTGAAAGGCTTCAAATTTTGACCTTTACTCGGCACTCAGGGCCATTGAGCAGTGAGGGATCTTTATCGTGCCAACGCCTGCCGCTGACACGGGGCTTCGGTTTTTAAGGCCTCATCCGAAGTGAATTTGAGAGCGGTGCCAAATTTGAAAGTTTTTTTTAAAGGTTTTGCTTGTTGCGGTATAATAAACAATTCATTGCATGAATGTTCGGGAAAAATGAAGACTTATTCAGCCAAGAAATATCATATTCTCCTCGGGCGAAGCCCTCGGGGAATATGATTTTTCTTGGCTGAAAAAGTCTTCATATTTCCCTCACTATCATGCAATAAATGTATAATATATTACATGTATACAACTATAAAAAGTGACAGTAACTAGATCTCACATGACACAGTACTGGTATTTCCTCACAAATATGATTTTTGCATTTTATCATAATCAGCATTTCAAAATAATTTGTGTTTATAATGGGAGTAATGATAATAGGAGTTATTAGAAGTAATAAGAATATCAATAAAATAATTAAAACAAAAAAACATTTTTTTTTTCAGAACTGAAGGAACTGAAAAATTAACTGTGAGTGTAGATGCTGAATGGCAGAAGAGGGGAAGTGGTCACTCATTTGATACACTGTAGCTTATCGGGTAAGTAACACTAGCTGTCAGTGTGTAATTTCTGTAATTTACATGATATGAGAGGTCTAAGTAATAATTTTACTTCTACTCCTTTTCATTTCAATTGAAGGACACTGCTCAATGATTGGTGAGCACACTGGCAAAATAATTGGCTATGAAGTTCGTAGCAAGAGTTGCAGGATATGTGAAAGTGCTAAAAGAAGTGGGAAGGAAGCCAAGGAGCATTACTGCAGACAAAATTGGCAAGGTACTAGATACTTCAATATTGAAATGAGAATTAATTGTCACCTTTTAGATTTATATGTATGTCTACATATTGCTGCTATCAATTTCTTCTTGTATGTATTTCTCTTTACTTGTATGTCCTGATGGGCCCAAAATGGTATTGTGACCACTTTTTTAAAATAGACTGATTGAACACTGACTAACCTGCTAAAATATATAGCATTTTTTGAAACTGAGAAATGCACATGTACATATATTTTAATTTAACTTTCAAATGTAAAATTAATCTTATCAAAAAAGTTTTTAAATTTGTGAAAATTTGTTAAATTTTAAAAATCAGTTTTTAAATTTGTTCTTTGATTTTTTAATGAAAGTTCTAAATCTATGGAATTAAGCATGGTCATTAGTATGGTGGAGAAAAAACTGGACAAAAGTGTAAGGGTGTGCACTGTTATAGCTGATCATGACACCACCACCATTTGTCGCCTCAAAAAGAGTGTGAATTCAAATATTTAAAAAAAAGTGTGACAAGAACCACAATAGGAAAAATTTTTTCCTCAAGTCTATATGCTTTGCAGAAAAAGCACAAGTCTTTGACTTCAAAGGTTATCCGCTATCTTCAAAAATGCTTCAATTATCTACTAGCACAAAACCAGGGAAACCCATGAGTCATGCAGCGATTCCTGGTGTCAGCATGTC